TGTCACTGCAAATAAGGAGGATTCTCTTCCTCTCTCACACACATCTAGGTATGCATTTGAATGTAAGATGAATTACTGAATTTAACACCTTAAATATCAACCTTTGATAAAGCTTCAAGAGAATTCAAACTATGTGGCCCAAGGACTTCAGGACAATAATAAATAAATCTATGCCACAAACCTAAGGTCTGGTCCATACGCTTTCTTATTCCAATCTCTAAAGAAGACATAGGTCTTTTCACACATCTGTTGTATCCATATATTTTTAATTTTTGCCATGTCCCTAACCCCTGCCCTTCATTGGAATAGAATAAACTCAGACATGTTCATGTCCATACCCCCTCAACTACTGTAAAAAATTAACTCTGTTCACAGGGTCACTTTCTGTATCCCTGCTAGAATGTACAACATGTGTAAAGCAAGAATAATGCTAAATATTTACATTTTTGGACTATCAAGTAGGAATAACCAGTTGAATATTCTTAGTAAACAGACCAGAGCCTGCTCTTAAGATGAAGGCAGAAGTTCACAGAAATTCCTTTTAATATCAATTGCATTATTTCACACAATTTTCTGAATTTCAGTTGGAAAATTACCTTCACTCTTTTTTTGTATGATCAGAGCTGTTGTTGTTTGCATCATTGTAGTTGTATGTCTCTTTTGATTAGTATTATTGTATTATGGCTTACTTTCGAGGAAAATTTGTACTTCACTCTTTATTGCTTTCTTTGCTTCTCTATCTATTAGCTCATTTCTTTCTTCTAATTTTAAACTCACTCTTTGGTGTGTTTTAATATGCTTTTTCAGGTAGCTGAACTGCTTCTAGCAGCTGGGTTGTCTCTTCTTTCTTTGTGACGTCAGCAGTCTCTTCTCTTTCTAGATGGCTCTATGTGCGTGCACGACTCTGAATGCGTAAGTCGAGTCTGTATAGATGTTTATTTTCTTTTCTTTTTGCTGTTTCTAAGACATGGGTCAATGCATTTATCTCAGCCTTCTGTGCAGAGGTACCTGTTGGCAAGGGTCCAGACTATTACCTCTCTGCAGGTAGTCACTGTGAACTTTGCAATGTCGCTTTCCACTGGCAATGTAGCTGCTCCTGTCAGTGAATCAGGTCTCTGCATCGCCCAGAGGAGTGTCCTTTAAGTCTGGGTGGCTGGAGTAGGTTGCTTCAATGGTCTCCAGGCAATCAAGGTGTACTGCTTCTCCTTGATTCCACTGAGAAAAGAAGCTGGGTTGACAATATTAGTCACCACTATTTCTACATTATTTTGCTCTACCATGATGGCCTGGTATTTCAGAAACCTCTCTGGTGAAAGCCAGTGGCCACCCTTTACTTCCAGTACTGCGGACACTGTGTGGGACACTAGCACAGTCATTTTTGTCTTAGGGTAGGCTTGGGTACTTTTTGGATATTTAGCACAACTGCTGCTACACCTCTGAGGCAACCTGGCCATCCTTTGGCTGTTGCATCTAGTTGCTTAGAGAAGTAAGCAACTGCTTTTCAGTATGAACTTAAGTCTTGAGCTGATATTCTCAGGGCAATTCTTTGTGTGGAAAAATAGAAAGGATAGTTTATTTACATTTGGAAGTTTCAAAGCTGGAGCTGACATGAGGGTACTCTTTAGCTTGTGAAAGGTTTGTGTGGCGTCTTTTGTCTACTGGAGATCTGTTTTAATTGGCAATAAGAGCATAGAGGGGTTTGGCGAATAGTCTATAATTATAAACTTACAGCTGGTACTACCCTGCCATGCCTAAGAAGGTTCAGAGTTCCTTTGTTGTCTGGGGTTTCAGGGTTTGGCATAGGGCTTCTCTGCTTTAAAGTCTGTTACTTAGCGCTTACTTCTTATTTTAGGTAGATTACTTTTTTAGATTACTTTCTGTTTCACTATCTGTGCTATTTTTTTTTTTGTGACTGCATCTTTGGAGTCTTAGGAAATTCAAAAGGCTTACTGTCTAGGCTTTCTTGCTTCTTTGGTCTGAGTGGCTACTAGAAGATCATCTACGTACTGCAACATCTTTTCTTCTTGTGGAGCTTCTTGGGACTCTGAATCTTTGCAAGCTGTTCTCTAATTGGAGTGGGGAATTTTGAAGCTTTCAGGCACATGGACTGTGTGAGTTTGAGTTTGAATGCAAAAATTTTCTGGCTGGCTTTGTGGATGGGGAGGCAAAAGAAGGCATCTCTTAGGCCTAAAACAGTGAACTAGGTTAGCTCAGGTGTTAGATAAGTTAGTAAAGTATATGGATTTGCTACTACAGGGTATAAATTTTGTGTTATTTTATTAACAGCTCTTAAGTCAGTACTATCAATTATTGGGCTGATTTTTTCTTTATCTTCTTTTTGAGGGTGCTACTCAACTCTCACTGGCTGTGTTCTTTCCTTAAGCTTGATTACCATGGGGGGGGCATTTTTTACTCTCTCTGGTACAGCAGAGGCTCATACTTTTGAAAACACTTATTTATTTATTAGAATATCTCTTTACTAAAGTCTTTAATTTTAGTGTTTGTTAATGTTTAACTTTTTTATATTATTTGCTTCTAGAGTAACTTTTCTCATTTGAGAATGTTTAGCAAATTGAGTGAATTGTATAAAACTTCTAAGTACACATAGTACACGTTACTTTAAAGGTTTGTAAAAGTATGCTTTTTCAGATTGGCTAGTTGTTTAGTTGTTCTCTACACTACAACATAAATATTTTCTACAGGTACTAAAGATTTATTTAAAACTGAATATATGGCTTTTGTGTCAACTAAAATTCTTCTCTTTTGGGGAGGTCATTTTTGTCTTTCTTCTCTTACTTTGGGAGGAGTTTTCAACAAATCATATGTACTCATTTTGCGAACTGTGATTGCTTTGCATTTCAGTGTGATAATCTTTGTTTGACTTCATACGTTGCTATCTTATGCTGCATGCTGAACAACACGTTTGATTTGCTTTCTCTTTGCTTTGCTTTCTTTTTTAAGGGCTAAGATTAGAGGGCGGTCTGATCTTACAGTCTCTTTGCTATTTTGGGTGATTTCTTAAAACAAAAAGACATATTAGCATATAAAAAACTCTATCTCATTTAACTTCCTATTTTAAAACAGTACTAACTGCAATGAAGTATTATAAATCTTTTTATTTTCTGCTTTTGTTGGCAACTTTCTCTTAGTGAGCTCTTCTTAAAAGGGGTTAATTTAGGAATTTCTTTGCTCTGGTCAGCTCTTATTATCTTTTTCTCTTTGCTTTATTTAGCTTTACTCAAACTTCTTTTCACAGACTTTTACAGTAGTTTCTCAGTTTCTCTCTTACACACAGCTTCAGGTGGCAGGTATCAGATGTGATTTTTACAGACACAAACTTTAAGATTTTAGGTTCTGAATCAGCTTGATCAGAAACTTTTGATTTACACTCGGGGCATGTGCTTTGACACTTATTAGAAGAGCAATACTAGTGTTTCTCACAAACACTGCACTGCAATAATACTTGCACATTTAGTTTTTGCTCACAGGTTATTTTTGTGTTCTTTGGGGAGACAGGGCAGCTAGAGCTGTTTTTGTGCTCAGGGGACAGCTACTGTCACTTTACGCAGCGTGTCAGCTTCTTGATGCACTAAAGGATCTTCAAAATTGCTTGCAAAGGTAGGCTATTCTGTTTGTTATTGAGAATTTTAAATCTCTATAGCAGGCTGTTTTTAGTTCAGACTTACTGCAGTACTAGCTGAAGTTTCATTAACTAATTTATTTCATTTATTTTTTTAATTTAAATTTTGTTTTACAAAATATTAGTTTTTTAGTTTTCTTTTTGCTTAATCTAATTAAGCACTGTGTTTACTTACACTTGTTTTATTGCTTTGCAAAAAGGCTGTGCTCGTCACAGCCAAAACTCTAAAATGCCCACAGACACACATGCACTCTCTTTATTTCAAATTCACTAGAGCTAAGGCTTGAATTGCTGTGAGGGGGAGAATTCTTGTAATTCTTTTAACTCGCTTTATTGTAGTTAAGCATAAATCACTATACTATAGTTTTTTTTTTGTGTAAAATGCTACTTTTGTTGCAAACAAAATCTTAAAATTTCTACAAACACTATTACACAATTTGAGAATCAAATTATTACAATGCAGTGGAAGAAAATTACTACACAAAATCACTGGGAAAGGGAATATTTCTCAAAATGCTTACTTTTTTCAACACAACACAGCATAATATAATTCGGCATTTACTCACATTAATTTTTCTTGGACACAATCAAAATAACAGCGCACAGTTTAGAGATCAAGTCTAAACATGTAAGGCAAAGGAACTCTCTGAGCTCATACTCACGGTTAAAATGTACTAAATTTACACAATTTACTACATTTAAACACAAATACTATAACTGACATTCTTCTACTCGCTTTTCTGCAGGGCACTTCTCTCTCTGCTTTTACAGCTTGCTGCAACTGGCACTTCTGGCTTTACTCGGCTGCTTCAAGCATGGGTAGTGCTCACTCTTTGCACTGTAGAGCACTGTAGATCTACATTTTTTATACACTATACACTTATACACTTGCATGATTAGAAACACAGTGGACCAACTACACAATGCATTAACTATATAGTAACACAGTGTTTGGACACTACACTTACACACACACAGGTTCAGCTGGTCTGCTCTATCAGAACAATGAACTCTCAATACACACATACATGGGTTCACTCGACTTACTCTTAGGGTCACTGGTGGTTCTGCTTGATTGGAACGATGAACTTTGTCTTTACTGTAGTTGCTCTCTTAGTTGTACTCAGACGTTTTTGGGTGATTTACTCTTTAGCTCTCTTTTTTTTGGGGGGGGGGGCTTTTCAGTACATACTGTATTCTCTTCTGCAGGCCAGCAGGTTGTTTTTCGTCCTCGCAGGTGGCAAGTTGAGACAAGCGGAGCCCCACCAGGAAAAAAATCCTAGGGCGCACCTTGGAGGTTCGTCTATCCTCCCTGCCCCTGCGGGGACAGAGAACTCGTCTGGCTGGCTCGCCAAAATGTTTTGCGGAAGAAAGAAGAAACTTCACAACTTTATAAAAGTTGTAAAGCTCGGTATGTTTATTCACGGCACTGGACGCATGTGGAGAAAATTCTTTTTAAAAGGCATGCATACTTCTGAAGACTTTAGGTCTCTTTTTATCTCTTTTCTAAATGCATATGCATATAGTTTTATAATAGGTTCATATATATTCATTCTGCATGATATTTATTGTTAGTTTTTCTTTATTAAAGGAATTCTTAGGTTGGGGGCAAATTGATTTCGTGGTCTTTTCTGTTTCTCTTTGTTTCTTTGCTGTTTCTGGCATGCGAGTTTTTTTTTTTTTAGCTTTGGCTTCACAGACTTTTCACTTCTCTTAGACGCTTTACTTAATTTAGAATGGATATTTACTTTGTTTCAGACTAGAGAAAAATTCTTTTTCTACCTGTAACTTTGAAGCTTCCTGAACCACAAACATGAGAGAGACCTTTCAGGCACCTCAGATTCTCCAGACTATTTGAGGCACTGCATTAGTTCCATTGACCATAACCTTCTTAGACTGTGGGGTTTGGGAGAAAGGTTTTCCTATAATTTCCACTATTAATCCTTTACTTAATTCATGCACTGACCTTCTGACAAGACATCTAGATAGGCTAAAAAAAAATTTAGACATTAATCAAATGAATGAAATCTAAAGAATTATATTGGCCCTGCACCAAAGAGCATCAACTGAGAAATTGCAAAGCATAATAAAACTGTCAGAAATAAAAGTATTACATCACAATTCATGTAGAATTACTCTGGGTTTTTAAAGAAAAATAATGTCCAAGAAAAAATAGAAAGGTACAAAAAAATCTCCAAGAGATAATATTATTCCCATGATCTGGGAAAAGGGTTAAAGAATGTGGAAAGCAATCACAAAATTTTGCAAAAATTCTGGAAAAAATTAAATTGTCAAACAAGATATACAAAAATGAAAGTCAATCTATACTTGATTTAGCATATATACTTATTGTTATATCCCTTGCATTTAGAAAGAAACTGATCTTTGTTAATTTCAGACCCCTTCAGCTCCATAACAGATTTCTACTTACTTAGGGAGCCAAGTACCAATTTTCCCATCAGTTTTATCTATCCCTTAGGCTTCAATCTCTTTGAGATACTTTGCAATTTTAAGATCAGAGACAGAATATCATGAGGCAATTAGGCAAAAATAAAAAAAGGCATCAGTTTTAATACTTGCATAAGGAAGGGTTATAAAAGCAAATTGTTCCAAAGATATTGAGGAGAATTTGCATTTGTACAGCAAGAATGGAATAAACAGTGTTCTTGAAGGGAAACTTTTGTGTGGGACAAATTTTTATTGTTTAATGATAATATTATTAATATTACTAGTAATATTACTAGTAATATCAATATTATTAATAGTATCCTGTTGTCTTTATTTGCTTAAGGAGTATATGCAAAGCAGATTAGTGGACAAAAATAATTTCTTAGAACTCTAACCATGTCTTCAGTAAAGTAGGCAATCCTTTTGAGACTAACATCACTTCTATCAAAAACTACAAAACTGTGTGCATTCTTCACTTATCTCACATAGATAAGGGAAATAGAGGGGAGGAGAAAGCTTTTAGCTTAGGATTTTTATTTATTTGTTCTCCTCTCCTCTTCTCTCCTCCCTTCCTGAACCTTCCCTTCCCTCACACTCTGGGAAGTTGCATTTGTGTCCTTTGGCACAGAATCACTGAGTTGCAGAAAAAAACCAACAAGGCTGGGCAAGGTTCTGGAACATAATTACTCTGAGGTGTGGCTCAGGGAGCTGGGGTTGTTCAGTCTGGAGCAAGGAGGTTCAGGGGAGAGAGAGACAGTGTTGCTCTGTACACCTACCTGACAGGAGGTTGTAGTCAGGTGATGATCAGCTTCTTTCTGAGGGACCTACTGATATGACAAAGGGAAATGGCATCAAGCTGAACCAGGGGAGATTTAGGTTGGGTATCAGGAAGAATTTCTTCACTGAAAGAGCGATAAAGCATTGGAAGAAGCTCCCATTGATATGGCAGAATCATCATCCTTATGTTCAGAAGTTTAAAAAAATACAGTGGATGTGGAATTTTGTTTCAGTGGGTATGGCGATATGAAGTCAAAGGTTGGACTTGATTATCTGCAGGTCTTTTCCAGCTGTAGTGATTCTACGACTCCATGAAAAGTGCTGAGGCCAAGTGACACTCAGTGAGCTGTAGACATACCTTTATTTTAGAAATGTAACACGAACAAGGTAACCTAAGTAAGAGTTTTGGGAACATTTGTTTTACTGAAATTCCTAGAAAGTCTCAATGGAGTCACTAAAATTTAAAGTTATAATCAAAGGGTGAGGTTTTTCAAAAGTTCAATTGGCACATAATTTTTAAAGCTTGTTTGGAAAGGTACTTTTCTGGTAAGAGACTGAGATTTTGTGTGTTTCACAATGACTCTCACAAGAGTTGTGTACTTGACATTTTATAAACACCCACAAAGTATTTTTGTGCAGTTTTGATGAGTAGATATTACTGGTCTAATTTTTTTTTTTATTGCATCCCCTCCCCCCCTTTTATCTCAGATTAACCCAATTAAGAAAACCCAATGTCAGACGATCTCATATTTACAGCTGCACAAAATACACAGGCTAGACTTTCCTGGCCTATATTTGTAGGCATGAGTGATTATATATGCAAAAATTCTGAACTGTAAATATAGTATTGAATGCCTTACAGTGATGTATTTCTTTGAAAGTTAAAGAGGATTTTTTTCAATCTCAAAAACAGTTTTTATGTTCGACAGTGTGTGCCATACACACATAAATAATGATTTTATTTTTCTCCCTCAGCTGCCATTAATACTTACATTAACATTCTTCAATGGAAAATTTTAATTGAACAGATTACTAAATCTTATTGTAGGAGTGTCTGTGTGTTTATCTGAGGATACATTAATTTATTTTCATAAATATTGTGCAATGCATCTACAGGATAACTGAGAGGTGACATTTTCTTTTTTTTTCAACAAATGGGTGAAATGAATTAGTAAAGCACCTAAAAGCCTAAGTTCTGAAATAAAATATTTCAGCATATATATTTTAAAATATTAGTAGTTCAATTGACAATACTTCTGTCATATCCTGTCTTAAAAAAATGTTCACCTGACAGACATTATGTCCCATGACTGTATCTCCCAACAATTTAAACTCTAATATTTCCTATTAATGTGATATATGTAGTAATAAATTTATCCCTACCAGTTTAAAATTTCAACAAGGAAAACTTTCAACAGGAAATTTATTAAATTATGGCGTTCAAAATAATTTCTCTGAATGGGAAAAAGGAATGTGCTGTAGGATTCTCTTTATTCCACAAGATGGAGCTCAATCCCTGTGCTACAGTTCTCCAACACCTTAGAGGTGCCTTTTGTCCTCTTGCCATTCTCTTACAGGAATAAGTGACGACCAGAATAAGTAGTATGATGCAATAGTCCTCTATTTATGACAGAAATGTCTGCAGAAAAGAGTGTTGCGATCCTACAGTGATGTATCCACAACCAAGTACGAACTTTATGTACTTAAGATTTAAAGATAAAATGACATTTTATAGGAGTAACAATATAATATTTACTAAATTACATTTAGATCCAGAGTCCAGCACTTATTCAATAGAAAAACACAATGATTTGCCATACAGGGAGTTTTATGCTGGGTAAACAAAAAGATTGCATCTTTGATACAAAAAAAGAACTTTACATGAAACTGAACTCCAGAATAGGAATTTCATCCTCTAACATGCGTCAACTAGATTTTTTTCTCTGAATACCTTGTTTCATTAAGATATACTCAAGAGTTATCAGATTACTCTGCATACACAAATTAAAGTGTTCTTTCACAGCAATATCTGAGAACCACAGAATCACAATTTGGCTGGAAAGGTCCTCTAGAGTTGATCTAGTCCACCTGCTACAGCAAATCAGACCAGGAACAATTTCATATAGTTTTTTTCAACAACGTCTTCATCTTTCTGAAAAGTGATGAAAATCTGTAATTCTGACTGGTCAGTTAAAAATATGAGCTTTGTACTTCCAGTATTTGAATGTAAGATTTTAGTGGAAGAATCCATCTTGCAGTTACAGGGTAAAGTGTTGGCACACCATGTATTACTCAGCACATGTGTGGAAGTAGATCACATTGAGATGGAAAGCTTTTAGATTTCATTAAAGAACACATCTAAAAGCCTACCCAATGATGTATGCTGCTTCTGTACCTCTTCAGTGCAAAGAAATCACATAGACAAGAAGGATTTTAACGTTGACAATTATGTCAGTTGGAACAGCTTTAGAGTCTAGAAACCTCATTCAGCTGACATACAACTAAAGGAACCTCATTCTACATTGCAACTAATTTTGCAAGTTTGATATGCCTTCAGAGAACGTTCATACATTCTCAGTCATTGGATTGCCAATTACTTTTGCTTCTGTGAGCACAGTGGGTGAGATCCAGAAAAAAACTACTTCAGAAGCACAGAAAAAATTAAACTGTCAATGTTTTGTTTTCCATGAAAGCTTTTGATGGCTCACAGATGTTGCAGTAATGTCTACCTATTCCACAGTATTTTTGTACATCTGTCCCCTTATACACATCCATGTTCAGTATAAATATACCTTATAAACTTCTCACGCTGTAGTACTATAACCAGCACCTTTATATTTCTACAGACTCAATATATGTTGGTTTTTTCTTTGTTGTTCTCTTTTTCAAACTAGTATAAACCCAGATTCTCAAACCCATATTTTTTCAACCAGCTCTCTAATTTACTCTTTGCAAAGTGCCATCCTGCATGCCTGTTATTCCCATCTCACTTATCTATCCTCCTCAAAACCTTCACCACTCATGGGCTGTTTTGTCATTTTTGTGGCCATTTCTACTGTTATCCTATTCCTTTCTTTGGAACATTTCCTCCATCCTTAGAATAAAATATAAGAAAATATAATGGAACAAAAATACAGCCATTCACATCACTTTTACTGACATACAACCTGAAATATTTTATCTTTT